TTTGGGTTCAAGGAAAAAATTACAATTAGTTAAAAGAATTTTCTTAGCTGATGTTGAGCCAGGAATTCATATAAAGTTTTAGTTAGTGATTAAGCTTTAGTAAACACCTACAATATTCCCTAAACATTGACAGGAGTGACACTTAGCTGTATGCCTGTTCGCTATTGAATAGCCTCCAACATATTGCAAATTACAACTCAATACACCATTCTATTGTTACATCTGTTTCCAGTTTCTTTTGAATTGAATGGAAAATACAATTCTTGGGAAAGCCACACACCACATACACACACACACACGAATGTTGTATATAATGTCATTTTGCAAAAATGAAGATTCAATTGAAATCAGCTGTGCAAAGCATAACAAATTTGCAAAACGATTATTCTCCACAAAACATGCCTTTTACATAATGCACACAGAAAATTACAGAAACTGAATCACACACACACGAGCGCTCTACAAGATAACGTCACAGTGTATGTGTGTGTTTGTGAGGGATGTGAATGAAAAAATTCCCATGATATAAGTAAGTATTGTTGCCCTCTAGAAGATCTGACTAACTAAATAGCAAGGTATCCCGTAAAATATACATACGTATCGAAGGAAACGGCACGTTAAATATTGATGTTATTTGATATTTAGGATTTCGATTGTTGCTTCACAGCGCCATATCAATAAAATAGAGTATAGTGAAATAAAAAGGTAGTACATATATATTATCTTCCACTTAATTTAATCAATAACAAGTTAAAAAGGTATCAGTCGGTTTTGCCTCCAGCCTTGAGTTATGTTTATTCAAAGTGTTGACCGTTTATAGGGGAGTTTCGGAAGAAGTTGGCCAATATTGACCAATTCGTATCTGACCTAAGTCGGATAAAAATATTACAACGTGCCAGATTTTGACTATATCGACTACTTCCTATACTTTATATGAAACATGTGCAAATTTACCAGAAGAAATGATCCGATCTCTATCATCTTTATAACAGATATTGTGTTGCTGGAAATATTGAGATGTACCAAGTCTGAATGGAATCGGATGTTAATTTCGCGTTTTATGAGCTTCGTGGTTACTCGAATTGTTGACCCTTTATAGGGGAGATACCGGAAGAAGTGGACCGATATATCCCCATCTTCACACCAGACCGTGAGTTAATTAAATATGGTAATGTGTGTAGTATGAAGAGAACCGGATGCTTATTTCGGATTTTATCGACTAGGCACGTTTTGACTGTATCAAATGATATATACCCTATACCCTCTGTAGCCATATATCTGAGGGTATAAAAAGTGGGTTCTGAAAAATTGCAAAGTTCCCCTTATTTCTTTATTATTATAAAATAGAATTAATACTGAACTTAGAAATTATAGCCTTCATAATCTAAAATGAATATATATGTAATGCTTGAATATATTGTATTAATTATTTACAAGCAGCCAAATCTTATTGCTTAAGGCATTATGCAAATGAACCTTAAGTTCATTGACGTGCTTGAGAGCATTAAGCCGTTTTGTATTTTCACATGCTGTTATTGAACTTGTTCCCTTTGATAATCGACCCATTTGGCACAAATGACTTAAGTGATGAGTATGTAATGTGAAACTTTTAAGGGTTCAAGTAAATAAATTGGACAGGTTGATGAGAAAATAAAAAGAGGTTGTGAAAATAAGCCAGTCATTTGTTTGAGTTGAGTAGTAAAAAATTATTACCTACTGTCTTTCATTGTTCACTTAGGTACATGTTAGTAACTATTATTAAGGGAAATTTTAGAAAAACCTATAAATGAATATAATCGAATATAATGTTTGTTCTTTAAATACCGAATTAAGTGGAGTTCGATAAATTCAAATCGAACTATGAATGCAATTTATTTCGTTCCACAAATTTTTCGTAACAGAATAGATGATGATGGCACGGTTTCTGTGGCATAACATTTCTACGACCGGGGTACGTTTTATGACGTAGAACTATACCATATCAACTGTACCTTACTGCATATAAAAAGCCAAAATTAGGTGAAATTTTTGCCAAACAAAAAACTTAACTAAATATAAATTCTTGTAACTTTTTACAATAAGTCTTGACGTACATAATACATCAATAGTTTTTGCTGAGAGATAGTAAGGGAACGGCTCTGAGAAATAGTAAGGGAACGGCTCTTCCAGTAAAGAACTTTTTCGACAATGTGCAAAAGGTTTTTATACATTCCGATATCATACTACAGGGCGAGATGAAAAAACTGCAACCAACTTCAGACTGCTGTGATTTCTAAGCCACAGTGACAGCTCATTATATTGTTTACAAGCGTACAAAAGCATTTTGATGAGAATTTTCCGGAAAAAAGTTATTCATGATGGAATTCATGCGTGATAGTGTGATTTCTTTATATTTGGCAGGAAAACCACAAGTGGCTATCGTTAGAGCACTCCAGCATTTAAATTAAATAAATCTTTTGTGTCTCGTACCATCGCTCGTTACCGTGATACTGGTAGCATAGTCCGACGTCAAGGAAGTGGACGGAAGAAAACAGCAACATCAGCAGAAATGGTACGAAAAGTAAAGAAGCGCATTGATCGAAACCCGCGTCGCAGTGGCCAAAAAATATCTCGTGAGCTGAACATATCGCAATATTCTATTCGGCAAATATTTAAAAATGAGCTCGGGGTAAAGCCATTGAAATTACAAAAGGTGCAAGAACTTACACCGCAACAGAAATAGACATAAAATAGATTCAAAAGAGCTAAAGAGTTGATTCGCTTGGCCGAAAGTAGTGAACTGCCGAATTTGGTTTTCTCCGATGAGAAAACATTCGTTGTCCGGCAGTTTGTAAACAAACAAAATGATCGTGTTTACTTGCCAAAGAGGTCAGCTAAAAATGTGCACCTTCGGTTGGCCACCAGAACTCAAGCGCCGGCCAAGGTGATGGTGTGGGCCGCCATAACAGCCGATGGTCGCTCTCCGCTCGTATTAATTGTCCGTGGCATCAGAATAAATTTCGAATATTATTGCGAAAATATTCTGGAGGGTGTATTAAAGCCTTGGGCACGCAAACATTTTGGCAGCAGACCTTGGGCATTCCAACAGCACTCAGCACACGCCACCCATGAATGGTTACAAAATGAGGTTCCTCGCTTCATTTCCAGCGCACAATGGTCACCAAAATCTCCGGATAGCAAGGTCGGCACTAAAAAAATACTAAAGTGTCGATCTTCTCAAGCAAGCTCTTCGCCGGGAATCAGCGCGGTATTCTAAGTCTATTTACTTCTATCTTCCGAACGAATTGTGATAGAAGGCTACAATTCTGCACACATGTATATTTTGCCAGTAGGCAGGTTAAATTCGTATATGGGCCATGTAGATCTATAGAGCCCTTATATAATGGTACCTCCCAATATTCGGTATTTTGATGATTTTAGCCATATTTTTACGAAATTATTGCAAATTTCGTAATGGGTACAACAGCTATTCCACGTGTTCGTATAGCGCCCATATAACGATACCTCCCGATATTAGGTATTTTGATGATTTTAGCGACAATAATAACCGGAATTGTTTCGAATTTCGTAATGTATGTACAATGTATGACAAAAGTCTCTATGCAAGTCTACGTCTTCGTATAGCCCCCATATAATGGTACCTTCCAATCTTAGGTATTTTTGAGACATTTTTACCCGAATTATTTCATATTTCGTAATGATTCTCCACCTATGGCTTATGAAGGAGAATTTCTTCGTATAGCCTCCATATAAGGGGTTTCCTTTGAGAGGTATTTTTCTACGGATTTTTTTTTTTTTTTTGAAAATTTTCAAATTCCTTCAAAATGGTGGAGGGTATTAGAACTTGCGAAGTACTTCCAGTACTGTGGCTCCATATTGTCCACAGCCATCAATTCGGAAGTCTATGTCCATTTCACAGTTAGTGTAAACAAACTTATTGGAGTAAACCTTCACTTCCTATATCAAACTAAAATGGGAGAAATACTTCTTCCATTTATGTATGACAAATTAAATGTAGATCCGAAAGGAAAGAAATTTGAAGTTTTTAATTATTTTATTAAAAAGATACACACAAGAAATGTGATTTTTTTCTTCCATTTTCACTTTGGCATTGTCAGTTGTAGGCTCAAGAATTATTTATTTTCTGTGGACAACACGAGTTACAAAGGTTTGTTAGCACTTTAAATACCTTGTAAATGTTTAGGATCTATTTGATGGCTGGATTTTCCAAATATGAGAAACCGCCCTGCGATTATTCAATATTTTATATGGAAACTCTAGATATGACCCATAATTGTGGTTTTGTTTGTTGCAAATTATCTAACATGTACATATTTCTCACTGGGAACATAATTTCGATTGACCACAATAAACATCTAGAAGACATACTATTATCAGCTCTGCAATAATATAAATATACAAATTGTGCGTTGTGACAAAAGAACAAAACAAAATGTACATACCAACCAACACTGATATGATTTCTTGATACGAACCACAATTATAATGTCCAAGATCTACACTTAGCAATGTGACATAAAAAGTGACCACATTATAAAGATTGTCTGATGACAATTCCATCATCTCATAACCTTAGAAAATTGTTCATCGCAACCCAAAACAACATCCGACGACACCTGCAAATGCAACACTGCGCGTCTAAGTAAACATGGGCACTACGCAACGCGACATATTCAAGAGGGGATAGCACAGCTCACACACACACATACAATAAAAACACACATATGACAAACGTCACGACACCCAGAAATATTTTCTTTTTACAATACTTCGTTTTACAAATTATTCCACATTTCCCGTTGCGATATTTATTTACTACAAATTCATCGACATTTTTTTGATTTTCTTTGCATGCTTTACTGGCAATTTTACTTGCTGATATCAAAAATGTTCTTGAATTATGAAATTTTTTCTTTTTCGTGTTGTGAAGGAAACACACTGCAATTTTTCGTTTAAGAAAGCCAACCACTCTTTCTTACCTCAGACTAATTAAGATGTCGTGTGGTTTCTAATTTCTTGGCCAATATTTGTTTAGGGGAAAACTCTTAAAGTTTTCCTCGACGTCTGCTGTATTGTTTGGACAGTTGAGGATTGAATTTATAATTTTTTGATGATTTATAGCAAATTTATAATTACTTTTAATAAACTTAACGACCAGCAGCAAAAAATTGCAGCTTATTAATTCTTCGACCCAATAACAAAGCCAATGGTTATGATAATTAGACGGCGACAATATGTGTTCACTAATTGTGAAATGTGCAACTGTGCCCTAAACTTACTGCTGAACGTAACGTAAAGTAATATTAAAACACAACACTGCAAAACAAAGATGTAAGATTATGTTTACATTGAAGCCATACATCCTAAAACAATGTTTAAGGTGCAAGTACATAAAAAGCTTGAAGTCATGGCTAGGCATATTAATGTCAAAAATACAATGGAAAACGACGGCAGGATTTGAATGCTCAACTTAGGCAAATAGGAAAATGTCAAATAGACTTTTAAAAAATTGTATTCAAGAGGTTGATTAGTTCTAAAGATGCAAGTACATAACAAGCTTGAAGTCATGGCTAGGCATATTAATGTCAAATTATAATGGAAATGGAATTAGTGCGGCTCTGTAATCCCTTTATGAAATGTCACAAAATATGCCTAGCCATGACTTCAAGCTTCTTATGTATTTAGACCCTAACTACTGCAATTGTTGCATGGGCACTATAAAATCAAAATGGTTTTGATTTTGGAAACTATTCCGGTCTAATCCAATGAATCCAGCTTGGTAAAATATAAAGGTAAGGTAGAGCTCATGGTAGAAGAATATAGGTAGATGCATCAAAGCTTGGGAACATTGATATGTCAAAATTTTCTAATGTTTGTTTCAAAAATAAGTGGAGTTGTACATGTTTTCTCCTATGACGTCAATCGGAGGTTGTAAAGATATACATTTTTTTAAAATTTTTACAAATATGAATAAATTGTCATTAAAAATTGTCAACTATAAAATTGGTTTGACCACCAGGATTCTTCTAGCATGGTAGCATGCTATTGCACCATGGTAAAAGAATATAGGTGGAGTCATCGACACAGTTGCTGGGACAATGAACTGTCAAACCAATTTTGGAATTGAAAATGTTGACTGAAAAATTATTTGGTGAAAAACGCGAATTATAATCTCCGATTGACGTCGTATAAAAAACATATAAAAATCTACTTATATTTGGAAAAATATATTTAATATAATTATGCACTGCAACGCGGGTTTCGATCATGTTGCTTCTTCACTTTTCGAACCATTTCTGCTGATGTTGCTGTTTTCTTCCGTCCACTTCCTTGACGTCGAGCTACGCTACCAGTATCACTGCAACCAACTTCACTAGTCTTAAGTTGGTTGCAGTTTTTTCATCTCACCCTGTATACCATTGACAATAAAGGGAGAAAAAATAAATAAGTAAAAAAACCTTAAGTTCTGCCGGGCCGAAGTTTTAATACACTCCACTTTAGGGTAAAAGAAACATTAGAACCCATTATGACCCAAAAATACCAATTTTTTAGACATATTCATGGGAAAATGTGCCAAAGATTATCAAAATACTGAATATCGGGAAATACCGCTAAATGGGGCTATACAAAAACGTGGACCTATACATACATAGAACCCATTAGGACCCACAAATACCAATTTGTAGACAAATCCGCGAAGAAATGTGGCGAAAATCATCAAAATACCGAATATCGGGTGGTACTGTGATATGGGGGCTATACCAAATCGTGGACCTATTCACGCAATTTTTCGCCACCGGAGCTAGAACCCACTATGACCAACAAATACCAATTCTTAGACAAATCTGTGAAAAAATGTGGCAAATATCTTCAGAATACCAAATATCGGGAAGTAAGGTTATATGGAGGCTATACCAAATCGTGGACCTATACACGCAATGTTTCGCCACCGGAGCTAGAACCCACTATGACCAACAAATACCGATTCTTAGACAAATCTGTGAAAAAATGTGGCAAATATCATCAGAATACCGAATATCGGGAAGTACCGTTATATGGAGGCTATACCAAATCGTGGACCTATACGTACAATGTTTCGCCATCGGAGCTAGAACTCATTATGACCAAAAAATACCCATTTTTACACAGAATCGTGATAAAATGTGGCAAAAATCATCCAAATACCGAATATCGGGAGGTACCGTCGATCGATATATCTCATTTACAATACCAACCATCCTCGATACAATACAAATTGTTCTACTAAATTTTGACGCTCTACGTCAAATAATGTGGGTTGTATCGTGATTCCAACAGACAGACAGACGGACATCCTTAAATCGATTTAAAATTTTATGCTGATTTGTAATCTTTAACCTTTCCAAGGTTGAAGGTATAAAAAATTGTAATCGTACGAGAGCATGAGATTACCTTGGTAATTGCACCATGGTAGAACCCATTCCGTCTTATAATACCTTAAGGTCGGCCAGTTAGCCAGGTCATCGCCTGTACATGAACATATGCTCATAAAGTGGTTGCCGCCGTTGAAAATATCTCGGCTTTGGGCAAATTAGTTGAGTTAGTTTTTGTTTGTTGTTGATTAGTTAATTTTAGGAGACGGTATATGTAGGAAGTGTATATATATTTATATTATTAATATACGTACATAGATGAGTATACTTAATAGCTAATAAATCTAATAAACAAAACAAGGCACCTGTTAATACGGTGCTGCTGCGACTAAAGAACTCGAGAAAAAAGTAAAATTTTATTTCTTATATATTATCAAATCAATTGTATTAGGTAAGTAATTTTTAATAAAATGCATTGTTGTTGTTATTTATTCGATGACACAAAGTTAAATAAAATCAGTTAAATTAAAATAAATCATATGAATAACTTTGATATGTTAGCAAATATAGTTTTTTTTTACTGAATTAATAGGTAACCATGGAGTCCTTTGATGATGTTCAGGAAGCCGTTGTAAAATATCTGGATAGAGGAATTGTTTTAGTTATTGCCGATTTGTTGAGTTTAATAACTGTATCGTCATGTCTGTTTATAAAAGTCCCACAAATAAATACCATACGTGAAAATAAATCTTCGAAAGGTATGTAGAACTTTTATTCAGCTAAACCGCGAAGCCATCTTTTCTGATAATCATACTTTCTAAAATGTTAGCTTATTAAGATGTAAGAAAAACAGACTATTGTTGCATATTTCTGGGCAGAGATTTCTTAGCTCGTAAATATGAGTATTTGTTGATAAATACGTTTAAATTTTCTTGGACAATTTTTCTTTAGTAAAATCATTTGAAAATATGTTACCTATATTCAATCAAAAATAAAATAAGCCATTTCAATTCTAGATAATATTTTATATAAATTATTACTGGAAAGTCTGTCTCAATGCATTCATATTAATGATTGCTGGTTCTCTAATATTTAAATAAACTTTATTTGATTGGAATCATTATTTTATAGTCAGGCCAATAAGCTTTCATGAAAATTAAGTTGAAAAATACATAACTCATATTTTGTTACCAATAATACATCCTTTTTTCTATAGGCATAAGTATTCTTGGCCTATGTCTCGAACTTTTCAGCTACACAGTTATGATGTCCTACAACTATACAAATCGTTATGAATTTTTATCCTACATGGAATATCCAATTTTGTTGTTGCAAGAATACGTTCTGATATACTTTGCTTTCAAATATCAAAATTTACTTGGACTTCGTACAAAAGTTGTTGCTGTTCTATATGTCATCGTTGCTGTGTTAATCTATTTGCGGCTGTTCCCATTGGTCATTTTACAATTTTTGGTGGTAAGTGAAAATTTTGTAGTTATTTTTTCTAATTGTATTTCCTATAACTATTTTGTTGAAAACCATTTGTTATTATGTTTCTAAAAATATCATTTTACATATTGGCAATGAACTATGAAATTGAATTAATCATTCATTTGGCTGTGATTTCGCTATCACCTAGAATTGATAACAACTCTTTGTGGACTTCCTTTTTGTTGTTATTTTTTTTATAGGCCAACAACTAACATGCTTTTGATAGAAGACCCTAGTGTTGTCATTTCATGTTTGTAGTTTGTACATTTTTGTTTATGTGGAGTGAAGAAAAACTGGTTTGCTTGGTATCAAAATTAATGGTTAAATGAGGGACGTATATGTTTATGTTAACTTCCCTATACATATCTGTAATTAATTAATCAATTTTTTTGAGTTGTAATCTTGTAGAAAAAGTGAAAAATTAAATTAAAGAATCTGTAAACCGGTTAGAACTTAATTACAGATTGCGACATATTTGTATTACAATGTATTTTGTACGTGTTTTAAATTAAATTGATGTCTATATGGATTTCCCTTTAAATTAAAAATATTGAAATAACATTCGATTTTAATGATTCATAATACGTAGGCCCTAAAAAAATTTTTTTGAGCACTTCATATATGTGTATTGAATGTATATAATTAAGGTTGTTTTATTTTGCAATCCTAGAAGGCAAGAAAAATTAGTTGTAGCACACATGTACACATATTTAGCTAAACGTTTGTAGATGCACATTTGTAAAAATATGTTTATGGTAAATCTTAAAATGCAATGCAAATGGTATGAGATGTGTTGTTTATATCTTAAGACATACCAAAATATATATACAATAACATTCTACAATAATTTTTGTACCCTATACCACATAGTGGTAAGTATTATGTCTTTGGGCATTTGTTTGTAACATGGAGGAGGAGGCGAGATAGACCTATATTTACTTTTGAGGATCTTCACAGAATCGCTTTCTAAGTCGATTTATGCATGTCAGTCCGTCTGTCCATGAATTTTAGTGAACAAAATGAAGGTGGCATTTATTATCCGATTGAGATGAAATTTTGCAAATCGGTTAGAATCGTTTCAAATTTAGATATAGCTCCCATATATATCTTCAACAGATTTCGGGTTAATTGTGCACAAAATGGCCGATATCAGTCCATATGACCTGAATTTTGGCACTTCCGACCGAATTAGTTTAGAGGCAAGTACATCAAATTTGGAGAAAATCGGATCAGATATTTTTGGGGTTTTTAGTTCCTCAAATGCGTAATATGCACTTCAAAAAATGATATTTGGTACCGGGCATCAGATATGGCTCGACAATACGTATGCCATCGAGATCGGTTCAAATTAGGATATAGCTCCCATATATATCTTCATCCTGTATTAGGTTTATTGTGCACCAAATGGCTAATATTGACCCAAATGGGCTGAATTTCGGCAATTCCGACTGCATTCATCCTAGATACCAGTACTTAAAAATTTGGTGTAAATCGGTTCAGATATAGTTATAGCCCCCATATATATGTTTTATCCGTTTTGGGGTTTAAAGTGCCTCACACGCTTAATATGCACTCAACAAGAATGATGTTTGGTACTAGATAACTTATGCATCTTAAAAAAATACCTCTGTCAAATTTTATCGAGATCGGATGAGATTAGGACACAGTTTATCCGATATCAGGTTTATTGTGCACCAAGTGGCTAATATCAGCCCGAGTGGACTGAATTTTGGCTATTTCGAGTGAATCCATTGTAGAAACAAACACTTCAAATTTGCTGAAAATCGGTTCAGATATCGTAGAAACAAATACTTCAAAATTTGTGAAAATCGTTTCAGATATAGCTATAACTCCCATATATATGTTTTACCCAATTGGTGTAAAAGTCCCTCACATGCAATCCACAACAGTAATCTTTAGTACCAGATATCTGATACAGCTCAGAAATAAATGTTTGAAATTTTGTCGAGATCGGTTCAGATTTGGATATATCTCCCATGTATATCATTATCCGATTTCAGGTTTTTTGTGCCCCAAATGGACTGAATTTTGGCACTTCCGACAAAATTCAGCCTAAATAAGGTTTTTTTGAAAAACGGTTCAGATATAGCTATAGGTCCCATATATATGTTTCATCCAATTTGAAGTTAAAGTCCCTCACATGCGTAATACGCACTCCTCAACAATGATATTTGACACCAGATACTCCTCGAAAATACCTCTGCCAAATTTTATCGAGATCGGTTTAGATTTTTATATTGCTTCGATATACATCTTCATTCGATTTTACGGTTATTACTCACCATTATGTAATATCAGCCCAGATTGAATAGAACTCAGTCCGTAAAATCTATTGCTCCAATAACTATTTTTTTAATATAATCCTTATCGAAGTCATATCATGCACTATACAGCAATGTTTTTTGTTCATATGTAGTGTGATCTAATTCACTTAAATTCCCCATATAAACTCTATTATTGTGGGAGCTCTACTAAATACGCATAGTGGTGTAGGGTATCATATAGTCGTCCCCGCCCGATTTTGATAATATAATATTAGGTCAAAACAAAATAAAAACAAATCATCATGTTACAACATACGAGTTTAACCCATTGTCCATCTGTCCACTCATATCTTTCAATTAAGAAACATGGGAAATTAAAACCCACACAGAATGAATCAATTATTCGATTGAATTCTACTCTTTTAGCCCTTCTGCACCCCCATTGGAGCAACGAGTAAAGTTCTACAATTGATTGCCATCTTACGCACAAAAGATGCCAGCTCTGTAAGCCGCACCACATGGGCTTTATCTGCCTTCACAAACATGAGTAAGTATTGACTAACTTTCATTTTGTACGTTTTTTTAATACATTTTAAATAATTGTTTCTTTTTGCCATTTAGCTCGCATCTATACTGTCTATGTGCAATCTCATGATTGGATGTTGCTATCGAATTTCCTGATATCAACATTTTTAAGTTCATCGGTATTTGTGGCCGCATGTGTTTACAAAAAGAAAACCAAAAAAGAATAGAAATGCTAATGCTAATGCACAACGAACTAAATTGGGCCATTTTAATTAACGTTTACAAAAAAGTTTTGTATAACAATTTTAGTTTAATGTTTTTCCTTTTAATGAGATTATTTTTTGGTTTTGTTTTATATTATATTTATTAACATATGAATGTTAAAATTTGACACCTATATTTGTTTTGTTGTAACGAAGTATATATTCATTGTAATTATGACAAGCAAAATTTTCCTTAAAATAAAAATGTTTTTTAATCATATCATTAGTACTATTTAGTTTGTTTTTATATTTTGAAAATATTTTCATTAATTTTCAACTAAATGTATAAAACATAGTTGAATAAGCATATCCAACTCTGGATTGGGTGAAAAAGTAATGACTTCATGAAGGCTAGTTTATACATAATATTCGAGTTATATATAAAGTGCCTTATTCACATTTATGTTTATATCATTTTTAGACCCTAAAAAAACAATGTAATTATGTAAATATATACAGGGTTAGATGAAAAAACGGCAACCAACTTCAGACTGCTGTCATTTCTAAGCCACTCGTCCGACAGCTGTTAAAATTATTCCAGTGACAGCTCATTCTATTTTTGGTGTGAAATTTTCAGAAAAAAGTTATTCGTGATGGAATTCAAGCGTGATTTCTTTATATTTGGCTGGAAAACCACAAGTGGTTATCGTTAGAGCATTCCAGCACTTAAATGTGAATAAATCTTTTGTGTCTCGTACCATCTCGCGTTTCCGTAATACTGGTAGCGTAGCCCGACGTCAAGGAAGTGGACGGAAGAAACAGCAACATCAGCAGAAATGGTTCGAAAAGTAAAGAAGCGGCTTGATCTGAACCCGCGTCGCAGTGGCCGAAAAATGGTTCGTAAGCTGAACATATCGCAATTTTCCATTCGGCAAATATTGAAAAATGAGATCGGGGTAAAGTCATTGAAATTGCAAAAAATGCAAGAACTTACACCGCAACAGAAAGAAAATAGACTCAAAAGAGCTAGAGTTGCTTCGCTTGGCCGAAAGATGTGAACTACCAAATTTGGTTTTCCAAACAAACAAAATGATCGTGTTTACTTGCCAAAGAGGTCAGCTGAAAATGTGCACCATAGCAGCCGATGATCACTCTCCGCTCGTATTAATCGACCGTGGCATCAGAATAAATGTCGAATATTATCGCGAAAATATTCTGGAGGGTGTATTAAAGCCTTGGGCACGTAAACATTTTGGCCGCAGCACGCGCCACCCAAGAATGGTTACAAAATGAGGTTCCCCGCTTCATTTCCAGCGCACAATGACTATTGTGTCTGGTGTATTTTGGAAAGCAAATACCAAAGTGTCGATCACCTCAAGCAAGCGCTTCGCCGGGAATGGGCCTGAGCAGCATTCGGGCAGCGTGTGACGGTTTCATTGGCCGTTTGAAGGCCGTAATTCGTTCCAAAAGTGAACAAATCTAAAATGATTCTAAAATTTCATATTATTCTCGACATTTTTTGCTTTTATTCAATAAAATTAAAAAAATTGTAAAAATTATGGCCTTTGACTTTGTTGTAGTTTTTTTTATCTCACCCTGTATATTCCATCTTAACACCAGATCTTGGGGTAGCAATAACATTGTGAATTCTGTAATTTGAAGACAATCGGACACTTACGTCACATTTTATAAGAGTAATAATTATTCAAAATGACCCCTTGTGGGAGAGGTACTTGATGGAGTAGACCGCTATTGTCCATTCTCGCATCTAACCTAGCATTGATGCTAATATTAGGATTCGCAAATTTGGAGCAAAATCAGATTATCCTTTCTCTTTCTGTGCAGTAAATTTTTTTTGAAAATGTTGACATTTTGTGTGGAAGGTTCCAGAAGGAGTGGACCGATATTGCTCATCTCCGAACTCGATATAAGTTTGACTAATATATTACGATGTACGATTACGATTACGACGGAAGGACATCGCTAGATCGACTCCAAATGTCCTGAAACGAATTTGGTTCAAAGAGACTTAGGGTCTAAAACCGTTATTTCGATGAGGCACGTTTTGGCCGTATCAAATGATGTATACTCTCTGTAGCCATATGGCTAAGGGTGTAAAAAGAAAATTATGTATGTGAACTGATTTTGTTGATGTAAAGTACAAAATTGGGATGGTACACCTATAAAACAAATCCGTTTCACATTTAAAAATATCTATAGTTTATTAAAATTACTAAAGCAGACAAAAATAATTTAACATTTACAATGATATGTCATCAGTTTAGAATACTAAGTGTGAGTTTAGTTTTTACCGAATTTAAAGACAGACAACATATTACGCATCAGTGCGGGACCATTCCAATAGCCATTCAACATAATGTGCCAATATAGAAGAGGCATTAGGTCCTTCTTCATGTAGAACATACTGTAGCGTTCCTTATTCTGTGGAACGGGGAATGTTTCCAATGGATTCAAATTGTAATCGAATTCAGCCAAAATACATGTTTTGTAACCAGTGACCAGAGGGCATGAGGCATAACCATCATAGACTTTGTTACACGATTTACCCTTCAAAACGGCCATCATATTATTATAAACCACCGGCGATTGGGCAGCTGTAATGATTGGTGAAAAAAGATTTCATTGTATTTTGAAGTGCGAGACTTTGCAACATTTTATTGTACATACCTGCTGCAGCAGCTGTCTTGGAATTAGGAGATGCCGAACAATCACCAATGGCAAAAACATTCGAATATTTGACATGCTGCATAGTGTCCTTGTTGACATCAACGAAACCAGCTTCATTAACCAATTCCTTGCAGTTGGCCAATTCAGTTGGTGTACTCATGGGTGGCACGACATGCAACATTGAATACTAAAAAAAAATATGAAAAAAAAAAAATAAAAAAAATTAAATTATGAGACTCTTACATCACATTTTATAAATGTTATTATTATTCAAAATGTTAACCCTTTGTGGGGGAGGTACTGGTTGAAGTGGGCCGATATTGTCCATTTTCGCACCTGACCTAGAACTGATGCAAATATAAGGATTTGCAAAGTTGAAGCCAAATCGGATTATATTTTCTCTTTCTATTCAGTAAATTATTTTTTTTTTTTGAAAATGTTGACATTTTGTGGGGGAGGTAACAGAAGGAGTGGACTGATATTGCCCATCTCCGAACTCGATCTAAGTTTGACAATAACATTACGATGTAGCAAGTTTGTATCAAATTGTTCTACCAAATTTTGAAGCTCTACGTCAAATAATGTTGGTTGTATCATGATTTCAAGAGACAGACACACGAACATCGTTAAATCATCTTAGAATTTTATGCTGAATATTATTATACAGGGTGAGATGAACAAACTGCAACCAATTTCAGACTACTGTCATTTCTAAGTCACTCCTCCGACATCTGTTAAAATTATTCCAGTGACAGCTCATTATATTGTTTACAAGCGTACAAAAGCATTTTGGTGAGAATTTTCCAGAAAAAAAGGTTATTCGTGATGGAATTCAAGCGTGATGGTGCGATTTCTTTATATTTGGCTGGAAAACCAAAAGTGGCTATCGTTAGGGCACTCCAGCATTTAAATGTGAATAAATCTTTTGTGTCTCGTACCATCGCTCGTTACCGTGATACTGGTACCGTAGCCCGACGTCAAGGAAGTGGACCGAAGAAAACAGCAACATCAGCAGAAAAGGTTTGGAAAGTAAAGAAGCGACTTGATCGAAACCCGCGTCCTTTCGGCAAATGTTGATCGGCGTAAAGCCATTGAAATTCCAAAAAGTGCAAGAACTTACACCGCAACAGAAAGAAAATAGAGAAGAGCTAAACAGTTGATTCGCTTGGCCGAAAGTTGTGAACTGCCGAATTTGATTTTCTTCGATGAGAAAATATTCGTTTTCCAGCAGTTTGAAAACAAGCAAAATGATCGTGTTTACTTGTCAAAGAGGTTAGCTGAAAATGTGCACCTTCGGTTGGCTATCAGAACTCAAGCGCCGGCCATGGTGATGGTGTGAGCCGCCATAACAGCCGATGGTTGCTCTCCGCTCGTATTAATCGACCATTGCATCAGAAAAAATGCCGAATATTATCGCGAAAATATTCTGGGGGGTGTATTAAAGCCTTGGGCACGAAAACATTTTGGCCGCAGACCTTGGACATTCGAACAGAACTCAGCACCCGCCACCCATGAATGGTTACAAAATGAGGTTCCTCGTTTCATTTCCAGCGCACAATGACCACCAAAATCTCCGGATACCAATCCTATCTGGAGTATTTTGGAAAGCAAGGTTGGCACTAAAAATACCAAAGTGTTGATCACCTCAAGCAAGCGTTTCGCCGGGAACGGGCCAAAATGCCGCAGAACAACATTCGGGCAGCGTGTGATGGTTTCATTGGTCATTTGAAGGCCATGATTCGTGCCAAAGATGACCAATTCGAAGAAGTCTATACTTATTCTAAAATTTGATGCTATTCCCGACATTCCATGAAAAAAAAAAATTATGACGTTTGACTTTGTTGCAATTTTTTTTTATTCCGCTCTGTATATACTATATGGGGTCTACGTCGAAAATTTGGGGATGTTACGAGCGTAATAACAAAGTTAATATAACCTCCTTTTCAAGGTGGATGGTATAAAAAGAATACATTTTACACACATTTTCATGGAAAAATTTCTCAGTGCATGGCTCAGTAAAATTTCTTATTTTCTTGTAGGAAAAATTCTCCCAGAATATTTTCAAATAATTTCAAAATAAAAATATTTAAAAAATATTTAAAACTGAAAATATATGCCATGTACATAAATATAATTGAGCTCTTACTGAAGATAAGTGAAGAACCGATACAAAAAATATTTGTTATGCAATTTATCACAAAAGGTACGTACAAAAACAGTTTTTATAAAAAAATTAGTTTAATTTTTCTTTCCCCCACCATAATAATTATTTGTCATCTCCCTCTTACCTTTTCTTCAAATTTCTCCGCAGGATTATCAAGATTTTCGAAAATGGCTATATCACTTTCCGGCTTTATTTCAATCAAATTACGGCGGGTATTAACTTGAATATTGCGTTTCTTGACAATTGGCCACAAGGCATCGGCGTAGTGTTTGACACCAAAAATCACTGGCAGCGCTGTGTTGTAGGTAACGTTAATTTTATTACGTTTGTTCATCTGAAAAGAGGGCAAATCCAAATCATTGTAGATCGTGGTGAGGTAACATATTCAAGAGATGCATACCTTACGGAAGTAATGTTCTGAAATGTAAACAATTTTCTGTGGTGCACCTGGACATTTGACCGGTGAGCTTGGGAACGTAAATATGGCATTGCCCTCTTCGATGTTGCGCAAACAATTGTAGGTCCTGTCAACATACAGAGGGGAATATATCGAACACACTTTGCCATTGGGTATGGCTAGGGCATCCATCAGGCCAGGTATCTGTTTGGGAAAAAATCATGCATTACTAAAGTCAAGTTTATCAAATAATGATAGCCCCTTTACTTTATTGTAGTTCAATTGCAGACCTGCTGCCAACAACAACATATCGTATTTGATTTCTTGCCCCGAGGAGGTTGTTACGGTATTATTATTAGGGTCGAAATGTTGTGCCTTTTCCTTAATCCATTCAATATTTTTGGGTAAAACTTGAGCCATGGGTTTGTAGCTTTGCTCCACGGTTTTCATGCCACCGCCAATCAGTGTGAACATGGGTTGATAATAGTGTTTCTAGGAAGATATATTCGGTTCATATGAGAGCTTTATGATAATGGGGGGCTAGTAACTTACATCGGCTGGATCTACAACGATGACGTTGTTTTTGCCCAACTTTGACGATAATTTGGCAGCCAAAGCACAGCCGCCAGAGCCTCCTCCAACAATAAGTACCTTGCATCTGAAAAATGGTTTTAATATTGTTTTGTTTAATAAAAAAGAGCTACTTCAATACAAATTAAGTAAACTCAACAAATGACTATTTACAATTTCTTAAATTAGTCCTTTAGTTTTGCTTATAACCTGCAGATATATGCGTTCGGCTATATGGTAGGTTTTACCTATATTGAATATTTTTGGAAGGGAGTTATATATTAAATTCTAATAGCATACTTTAAGGAGCTCCCAGAATTTTTAAAATAACCTGTAATAAAAGGTTAAAAGTCAACTATATCATACCCTACACCACTAGGCATATTTAGTAGAGCTGCGCGTAACAAATAAAAGCAGTAAGTTCCGGACAGGGCCGAACTTTCAATACCCTCCACTATTTGGAACAAATTTGGAAATTTTCAAAATTATAGGATCCGTTAAAATTTTGAAAATACCGAATATTGTCGTTATATTGGGGTCTATACGAAGAGGTTGACCTGCATAGCCATCATGAAAAAAGAAAAATAGTTTCAGTCGGGTTTTTCCTACAGAGGTATACCCCCATCCTTGATTTATGATTACTCAAACTCTAGACCATTTATAGGGGAGGTTATGAATATTATAACGTGCCAGAGTTGGACTATATCGACTAATTCCTATACTTTATATAAGATATGTGCAATGTTTGCAAAATGTGGAAATATGCGTGAGGTAACAGATATAGCGGACCAAGTATACTTCATCTAATGAAGATGAAAATATTGGTATATGCAAAATTTGAAGGAAATCGAACATTTATATCCACTTTTGTGCAAAATCAAAAAATTCCGATAAATTACATATCCAGGTCAGATTCCTGGTTAGGAGAAATATTTAGATGGAGCAAGTTGTAAAGAATCACCGACTTCACAACACATTTTGCGTTACTTCGCTTTCTTTGAGCGTTTTGTTTTTCAAATCTTGAACCCTATGTGCCGAAGGTACCAGAAGAAATGGCCCGATCTCTACCATTTTTATAAAATATCTTGTATTGATGGAAATATTGCGATGTACCAAGTCTACATGTAATCGCATGTTAATTTCGCGTTTTATGGGTTTCATGGTTACTCAAATTTTTGACCCTCTATGGTAGAGTTACCAGTGGAGTGGAGAGTGGACCAATATATCCCATCTTCACACCAGACCTTGGGCTAATAAAGATATTGTGATGTGTGTAATTTTAAGAGAACCGGATGCTTTTTTCGGATTTCGTGATAGTTTTGGTTATTTAAAACTTTCACCCTTTGTGGGGGAGGACCAGAAGGAATGGTCCATCATTTTTATAACAGATCTTGTGTTGATGAAAATATTGAAACCTGCCAAGTCTGAATGGAATCGGATGTTAATTTCGTTTATTATAATATTACGATGTATCAAGTTTGGATCAAATCAGGTACTCCCTTCGATAGTTATCGTGTGCACCAGCCAGCCAGACAGACAGACGGACGGACGGACATCGTTAGATCGACTCAAAATGTCCTGAAATGGATTTCGTCCAAAGAGACCTAGGGTCTAAAATTGTTATTTCGATGAGGCACGTTTTGTCCGTATCAAATGATATATACCATCTCTAGCCATATGGCTGAGGGTATAAAAAATCCGGTGAATAGTGTAGCTAAATCATCAAAATACCGAATATAGGGACGTACCGTTATATCGGGGCTATACAAAGACCTGGACCTGCATAGAACCTTTTTTGTCACAGGCTGTATTACCTATTAGGAACTTTAAATACGAAATTTCAAACAATTTCAATGAATATTGTACCCAAAATAGTCAAAATGCCGAATATAGGGAGGTACTGATATATGGGGCATATACGAAGACCTGGCCCCGCATACATAATTTTCTGTCATAGACGGTAATTCCCCTTACGAATTCTAAATACGAAATTTGAAACAGCTCCGGTTAATAATGTGTTAAAATCATCAAAATAGCGAATAAAGGGAGATACCGTTATATAGGGGCTATACGATATCGTGGACCGATATACACAATACTCTTCCAGGGGATAAAGTATTCGGAAGGAACTCCTTTTGTAGATTTTCAAACAATTTTATTAAAAAGTTTGGCTTCAATCATCAAAATACCGAATCTCGGGGGTACCTTTATATGGGGGCTATACGATATCGTGGACCGATATAGGCCATCTTCGAATTTGACCTGCCTGCAGACAAAAGACTGATCTGTGCAAAATGTTAGCTTCGTATCTTTATTTGATTTGACTCTAGCGTGATTACGACAGCCGGACAGACGATCGGTCAGGGCTAAATCGTCTTAGACTTTTACGATGATCAAGAATATATAAAGTGTATATATGTTTATATGTATATATGTTGGGTCTAAAATTATTATTTCAATGAGTTATAAACGGAATGACGAACTTAATATACCCACCATTCTATGTATGGTGTAGAATATAAAAAAACCTAGTCCTAAATACAAACGTGTAGATATAGGATCAAGATTACGGAGTATTTGAAAACTCTTCTACGCATTTCATAAGAACTAACTAATTAATATGTATGTTTGAATATTTATTCCCCCGTTGCTTCTGGAGCTCCGTAAGTTTTATTATCTGCATGTGTGTTTCATTGTTTTTCAGTTTTATTTCACAAACATAACAAAAAAACTGACAATAGTAAAAAAAAACAAACAAAAAATATCAAACACGTGTAAACAATAATTTGTCAGAAGCCATGAAGCATCCGCAAAAAAAAAACAAGCTAAATATATTCACAAACGTATATATTTATGTGTGTATATTAATGAACCTGAAGTGGGATTGACAACTTAAAAAAAAAACATATATGTAGGTATGTGAGTGTATAATTAATATGTTCAATTGTTGTATTCTTTTGTTGTTATTTAGAATTGTGCAAAAAAGTTATGCTCGTGTTTGGTCGTTTACTTTGGATAATTGTTATTAATGACACGAATTGCGTGCAACGAGAAAAGAACCTGTGGATTATGGAGTGACAACATCATAAAACATCAGGAACTGATACCAATTAACACCACATGTTTATTTTCACTACAGGTTTGCCAACTTACGTACCCATTCATTCGTACATTTTAATTGAATTAGTAGTAAAAAATATTCACACTGTGTTCATAGAGGAATATGCATATGCTAGTAGTAATGGGTTGCCCAGGGTTGTGTCCCTAGAGATTGATAATTAAATTATGTTTATGAAACATGTGTTTGCTCTTAACATGCAACGTAACGGTTACTTTACAGGCACAACGAACGGTTATGGATTTGAAATAACGCATGTTGTGTTCCCGTACTTTTGTATACCCTGCATCATACATTGTATGGAGGGTATACTAAGTTCGCCATTCCGTGTGTAACTTATCGAAATAATAATGTTAGACATAACAAAGTATATATATCCTTGATCAGCATCAAATTCTAAGACGATTTAGCCCTGTCCGTCCGTCTGTTGTAATCACGCTAATATCAAAACGAATAAAGATAGAAAGCTAAAATTTCAGTCTTTTGTGCATGTATGTCAAATTTTAAGATGGTCTATCGGTCCACAATATCGTATAGTCCCCATATAACGGTATACTCCAGATACTTCCCTATATTCGGTATTTTGATGATTTTAGCAACATTTTCAATTGAATTGACTAAATATCTATACTAAAAGTTCATTCTAAGGTCCACGATATCGTATAGTCCATATACTACGGTACCCCCGATGTTCGATATTTTGACGAGTTTATGGACATTATCCACCGGAGTTCTTTGAACTTTCGTATTTAGAATTCGTAATAGGTACTACAGCCTATGTTAAAATATTGTGTATGCAGACCCACGTCTTCGTATCGCCTCCATATAACGGTACCTCCCGATATTCGAAATTTTGACGATTTTAGCGACATTATACACCGGGGTTGTTTAAAAATTTCGTGTTTAGACTTTGTAATGGGAACTCCAGTTTATGAAAGAAAATTGTCTATGCCGGTCCAGGTCTACGTAAAGCCTCCATATAACGGTACCTCTCAATATTCGGTATTTTGATGATTTTCGCGTAATGGGAACTACAGTCTACGCCGGAAAATTGTCTATGCAGGTCCAGGTCTTCGTATAGGCACCATATGTCGGTACCATCCTATATTCGGTATTTTGATGATTTTAGCGACATTATTCAACGGAATTGTTTCAAATATCCTATTTAGAGTTCGTAATGGGAACTACAGTCTACGCCAGAAAATTGTCTATGCAGGTCCAGGTCTTCGTATAGCTCCGATATAACGGTACTTCCCTATATTCGGTATTTTGATTATTTTAGCTACAACATAACGGCTATATTCGGCATTTCTAAGATTTTAACAGAAGTTTTAACGGATTTAATTTCATTGAAAATGTCCAAATTCGTTCCAAGTGGTGGTAAACGTGGACCTATATATCCCATTTTTAATACAGAAAATCCTGCAGTCCAAACACGCATTTGACTAAAATTTTATCAACTTGCTTCAAGTCGTTCGGAAACTAGAGTGATTTCCTGATTTTCCACTAAATCGACATAGAATTTTATATTTTGAGGTGTTACAAACGGAATGACAAACTTAATTTACCCTCCGTAATATGGTGTAGGGTATGAAAAAAGGAAATATGTTTGGTAAGTACTGTGTAATTATATAACATTTCCCTTGCACGATCATATATTGCATCATCGTCAAATTTCAATTGTATCAATAGCTAAAATCTGTTTTTGAATATCGTCAAGTTTTTGAAGTTCATTGATTACATTTTAATTATCATTGCTATAACAATTCATAAATTTTCCGATTTACTACTTTTGTTAATAATTGTTTTTTTTTTTTAATTTATTTCACTTTGTTGGCTTTTTCCTTTCATTTCCCAGAATAGTTTATCTTTTATGATGTCACAGGCAATAATTACTTTTTCCCCCGCACATTGATGGTTATCGACTGCATATTGGGCGAATAGCTGATAACGATTTATAAAACAATAGCCGTTGTAGTTTTATGTGCATATATACACATATAATCCATGAAAATATTATGTCTGTTCGATGACTTATTTAGTAAAGAGTGAAAATAAAATAAAAATAAATAAAGTGACCGACACAATACATGAAAGGTGCAAGGTCTTAACTCATCATGTCTGTAAAAATACGAAACGAAAACTGTTAGAAATGAAATAGATTTCAAATGCTGAAGAGATGTTCTGAAAATTACATAATTCATATTGAATGCGAATTGGGATGATTGCGTAATTTTCAATGTGGTTGAGGCAAACTGCACTGGTTTGCTTAGTTCTTCAACTGCAATTGGTTCTTCGAGGATAGTATTCATATTTATATCGCTCTCTTAATTGTTGTACCATTAAAAGTTACGGTCATAGAGCAATAGCATCTTCCGTGGTTCATATAAAAAATATCATTAGCAACGCTCATAATATATTAGCTTCTGAAAAGACTTTTTAAAATTTTACCTACATTAAGAGCCAATCCAATAGTCAAGCCACGAGAAAATTGTCTTATGTGTTCACAAAACATGATTTTATAATAATACGTTATTCAGATTGTCAATTCCTTTGATTATACATTTCTTTTATATAACATATACAATACAATAATGCCGAATATCAGGAGGTGCCTTTATATGGGGACTATAGAAATTCCTGGAAAGGTTGGTATCAAATACCGACGGTTTATGTTGAGTTGCTTGGAGTGGCCTCAAATTTTTTCACAGGTAGGTATTTTTTTGCCTGATTACCCCAAAAAAATTGTTCGTGTAACCCGGTTATTCAACCCGAATTCGTTCACCTAATAAAAAAACATAATCATTTAAAAGCTAATGAAAATACCTATCTGACAATTGGGTATATGAAGGCATTATTTAAACTGGTTCGGGAGTAATACAAGAAAATTGGTATTTTTGTACCTGAACTTTTTGAAACCCCCCTCTCGAAAACCGCCACGTAATAATACCTTGTCGTGATCAGGGTAACAACTTTAACTGATTCGACCATGCCCATAAAATCCCAATTAAAAAAAAATACTCTAATTAACCTCTGTCGAGGTGAAATTTTGGGACGCATTTAATGACGCTCTCAGCCATATGGCTAGAGGGGGTATATATCATTTGAAATGGTCAAAACATGCCTAGTTGAAAAAAAGGTTTTAGATCCTAGGTCTCTTTGGACTAAATCCGTTTTAGGTCATTTGAAGTCGATCTAGTGATGTCCGTCCGTCCGTCTGTCTGGCTGGTGCGCACGATAGCTCTTGAAGGTTCGATTAGGTCCAAACTTGGTACATCGTAATATTATTGTCAGCCTTAGATCGGGTTCGGAGATTCAATATTGGTCCACTCCTTCTGGTACATCCGCCACAAAGGTCAACATTTTCACAGAAACGGTCAACATTTTGAATAACTATGAATTTTTAGATTATTTTCAAACTTAACACAACCCAATATTTCTGCCAACACAAGACCTGATGTGAAGATGAATGGAAACGGTCCACTCCTTCTGGTACCTCCCCTACAAATGGTCAACATTTTGAATGACCAAAACGCTTACAAATGCGTAGTAAGCATCCGATTTCCTTCAAATTTCACGCATCCCAATATTTCTATTAAAACAAGATCTGGTGTGAAGATGATAGATGAGATCTGATGTAAATTTAGAATTCATCAGCTCACTCCTTCAGGTACCTCCCCCATAAAAGATTTAAATTTTCATTAATTTTTCACATAATCTTAACGGAATCATAAACATAAGGGAATCAAAAAATATAAGTTATAAACGGAATTACAAACTTAATATAGCCACCATACTATACATGGTGGAGAATATTTCTTTCTTTCTTTTTGAAAATCATGTTTTGATGGAATTCGGATCAGTTCGCATCATCGCAATACTTTTGTAAGTTTGCACAACGCGACGGGTGAGTTGTTTGTTTTTGTGACATTCTCTTTTCATTGCAAATTTTTGATCGAACGAAAAATAAACAAATTGAAAATATTGTTTAATAAATTCTAGTCATGGTGAAATCATTTCAAATTTCAAACTTTTCAGCGGATCGCAGTGTAAAATGTGTATTGCCGAACCCATGGAATGTAATGACTATGTTTTATGTTTAAGATTGATTTCTGATATCAGTGATCACCACCGCCACCACTTGTGTTGAACATTAAAATCATAAATTGAAATGGAAAATTCCGCAACAATTGTAAAGTTTTCCATAGATTACTCACTCTTTTTTCTGTGCCAAACTAGGAGAAACGGAGAAACTCCTTAGGGTGATTAAACCAAGATTTGAGGCTTTTGAATGTGCCATCAATCTTAATGAGGCTGCTTGCAGAACACCGGTCATGGCTGGTAGTTACTTAGTTCGTTATCGTTTTTTTTTTTATTTTTATTAATTCGCCCGGTGGACAATGTTCGGCGTGTGTTTCTCTCTCTCTCTCGTCGCTTGTTAGATAATTCGCCAAACACTTGTTTTTATGTTTTCGGTTTTGTTATTATTTTTTGTTTTGATTTTTCTGTCGCAAATTTTACTTTGCTCCGCTACCGTCTACTGTTGCTATTCAACTGAATTTATACTGGCGATTTCTCGAACAATGTTAGTTTTCGTGGTTTAGTGGGACTAGCGGAGCTATGCATGCTCTCTTTTCTTGTTTTTGTTGGATGCAAGCAGATAACATCAAAGCAAAGAGAATTTGGGGGCCCGGTCACTTGTTTACCCTTTTCGCGTATCAACAAGTTCAACGTTTTGTGGTCTCTTATTTCCCTATCTCTCCACGCATTCATTACTCAATATTAATGTTTGTTTGTTATTTTTGTTTATATTCGCTGTAATCACCCAGCCGCAGCCCCATTCCCATATAAGTAAAAAAAAAACTTTTATCCACTATGCGGTGGTTAAGCGAGTATTTGCTAGTTTCTGAACAAAAGCTTGCCATCAATTGGAGCTTTAGCTTCGACGATTTTTTAAGTTAGGACATACACACTAGATGGCATAAAAAAACACATGCCAACCAACCGATGTAGTCGGGCCAAGAGGTATCCGTTGGAATTTCATCTTTTGAATTTCGAACAAGTAAAAAAAGCCAACTATTAATTCCCTCTACCATTTTGAAGAAACTTGAAACTGTTCAAAGAAATTCCGTAGAAAAAAATACCTCTCAAATGAAACCCATTACATGGGGGCTATAAGATGACGTGTTCCTTCATATGTATTACGAACTTAAAAAACAAAATTTGAAACAATTCTGGTCGCTAAAATCGTCAAAATACCAAATATTGGGAGGTACCGTTATATGGGGCTAGACGTAGACACAGACCTGCATGGACACAGACCTACATGGACCAATTACGAACTTCAGCTACGAAATTTGAAATAATTCCGTCAAAAATATCACTAAATTCATCAGAATACCGAATATTGGGAGGTACCGTTAAATGGAGGTTATATGAAAACGTGGATCTAAATAACCCATTTACGAACTTAACGATTGCTAAAATTCACATGTGTGTCTTCTATCTCAATTCGTTCTAAAGAAAGCGTGATTACAACAGACATACGGACATTGCTAAATCGTCTTAGTATTTTACGCTGATTAATAATATATACAGGGTGAGATAAACAAAACTTGTCGGAAATAGCATCAAGTTTTAGAATAAATTTAGATTTGTTCGAATTATGGCTTTAAACGGCCAATGAAGCCATCACACGCTGCCAGAACGTTGCTCTTCGGTATTTTGGTCCATTCCCGGCGAAGCGCTTGCTTGAGGTGATCGATACTTTGGTATTTTTTAGTGCAAACCTTGCTTTCCATAATACTCCAGACACAATAGTTCAACGGATTGGTATGCGGAGATTTTGGTGGCCATTGTGTGCTGGAAATGAAGCGAGGAACGTAATTTTGTAACCATTCTTGGGTGGCGCGTGCTGAGTGAGATGGTGCTGTCCTGTTGGAATGTCCAAGGTCTGCGGCCAAAATGTTTGGCTTTAATACACCCTCCAGAATATTTTCGGAATAATATTCGGCATTTATTCTGATGTCACGGTTGATTAATACGAGCGGAGAGCGATCATCGGCAGTCATGGCGGCCCACACCATCACCATGGCCGGCGCTGGTGGCCAACCGAAGGTGCACATTTTCAGCTGACCTCTTTGACAAGTAAACACGATCATTTTGTTTGTTTACAAACTGCTGGACAACTAATGTTTCCTCATCGGAGAAAACAAAATACGATAGGTCAAAACTTTCGGCCAAGCACTTTTTGGAATTTCAATGGCTTTATCTCGAGCTCATTTTTTAACATTTGCCGAATGGAATATTGTGATATGTTCAGCTCACGACCCATTTTTCCGCCACTGCGACGAGGGTTTCGATCAAGTCGCTTCTTTACTTTTCGAACCATTTCTTCCGTCCACTTCCTTGACAACGTCGGGCTACGCTACAAGTATGGTAAGAGCCATAAACGATTTATTCACATTTAAATGCTGGAGTGCTCTAACGATAGCCACTTGTGGTTTTCAGGAAAATTCTCACCAAAATGCTTTTGTACGCTTGTAAATAATATAATGAGCTGTCACTGGAATAATTTTAACAGCTGTCGGACGAGTGGCTTGGAAACGACAGCAGTCTGAATTTGGTTGCAGTTTTCTCATCTAACCCAGTTACCGGAGCCAGAACCCATTGCGAACTAAAAATGCCAATTTTTAGATAAATCTAGTATTCAAAAATTTGTCAAAAATCACAAAAATACCGAATATCGAGAGGTACCGTTATATGGCGACTTTACCAAAACGTGGACCGACATGTCTCATTTTCAATACCAACCATCCTAGCCACAATACAAATTGTGCTAAATTTTGAAGCTCTATGTTAAATAATGTGGGATGCATCGAGAGAGACAGAGAGGCAGACATCGTTAAATCTACGACGAATGTTTTGGGAAGTTAAAACCGGAATGACAAAGTTAATATACCCTCCTTTTCAAGATGGAGTGGATTTAATTTATTATATACATAGTAATTTAGTATTTTCTCTAAACTGTTTTTATACCCTCCACCATACAAGGTATATCATCGTAGAATTCTGAGAAGATCTAGCGATGTCCGTCTCTCTGTCCGTCTTTATATCTGTCTGTTGAATTGAGGTAGAAGGCTAAAGTTTGGCGCACATGCATAGTTTTCCAGTATGCAGGTTAAGTGACCTATGACAAACATTTTTTCTTCGTATAGCCCCCATAAAAAATGATCACAAATTATAGCTAAAACCCCCGAAATGTCAATATTTAAGTAGTTATGGCCATTTTAATGTATACTATTGTTCCTCCTTCAAAAAGTGATCACAAATTATAGCTAAAAACCCCGAAATGTCAATATTTAAGGAGTTATGGCCATTTTAAAGTATGCTACTTTTCTTCTTTCAAAACGTGATCACAAATTATAGCTAAAAACCCCGAAATGATATTCGATATTTTCATGATTTCAGCGATTTTATTTACCGGAATCATTTCAAATTTGAAGTTCGTAATGAGTTCTACAGCCCCATATAAAGGTAACTCCTGATATTCGGTATGTTGATGATTTCAACAACATTATTCACCAGAATCGTTTCAAGTTTCGTATTGGTTACTACAACATATGGAAAAAATTTCGTATGCAGGTCCACATCTTCGTTATTCGGTATTTTCATGATTTTAGCGACATTATTTACCGGAATTATTTGAAATTTCGTATTTGAAGTTCGTAATGGGTGCTACAGCTTATGACTAAAATTTTTGTATGCAGGTTCACGTCTTCGTATAATCTCCATATAACAGTTGTCATTTAAGTGGTAGTTTCCGGAAGTTTTTGGAAAATTTTCAAGTTCCTTCCAAATGGTAGAGGTATAAAAAGTTCTGCCTGGCCGAACATAGCTGTTTTTACTTTTTACTTTGTTCTCAAAGGTAGTCTTCTTGCCCTACCTAATGAGGGCCTTATACGCCTTTTGTTCTTTCAAAAATAAAATTCAAGCAGTTTCATAATTTAATTCTACGGCAAACCTGGTTGATATATTTAATGCTGGCATTGTACGTCTCTTCTGCAAAAATGGCCAAAGTCAGACACATCCATAAAAAAAGTTGTAATCAGTTGGTAGCTCTACAATACCTTTTTATTGTACCATGGCTTATATTACGTATAAAAAAATTAAATAAAAGAATCGTAAATGCCAACATTTATATTTGTTATATTTATTATTACAATAACCTTGAAATGTCCCATTTATTCAAGATTTCGTTCATCTCTTCGGCATTGCAGACGAATTGGCATTTGTGGATGACATAACGTAATTGAAGATGCAAGGATTCGGTAAGTTATTGGTTTTTTATTTGCCAGCCACTTAAAATGAAATCAATTTAATGGCGCATTCCAATTTGAGATGCACATTGATGCGAATGCATGCAAATTAGGACATACATACGTACACATTTAGTTTGTATATTTTCTTCTGTATGAGGGAGCTTTTGCGTTTTTATATTTCTTCTTAAAATAAGGGGTACTACTGCTACATCCAGATATAGTGGAGTTAATAGGAACAGGCGGGAAAATAATACATTCCACTAGTCTCTTCCTTCCCTATATTGCTAGATTATTCGTTTTACATTTCTATTGCTTCCCCTTCCCCTACTCGAAAGTTGTGTTATATGTTCCGATACATCCCTTTAGTTACAATCTTGTTTTACCGACCATGTAAGTATTTGAATAATGCGTGCTCCTTTTCATCGTCGTAGCTGAATTCTTTTCTTTTTTAATTCCGAATTCAAGTCCATCTTTAACTAGAATTGAAAAAGAACAATTGCTCGAGATGCAAATATTTGTTGGTAAAAAGAAGCCGCTGAGATGTGCATCACTTATGAATCACGACCGATACAATTCAATTAATTCATGGCAAATTCATTGCTTTGCTTCGCCATGAGACTGTTTGTTAGGGTGGATCCCGTTATCGTTTCTTTATTACCAGTTGGTTGAAAATAATGGGTTATCCCTTAAAAAAATACAAAGAAAATTAGCTTATTTTTATACCCTTCACCATACCATGGAGGAGATGTTAACTTTGTCATTCCGTTTGTAACTCCTCGAAATACTCATGTCAGACCCAACAAAATACATATATTCTTCATCAGCGTAAAATTCTAAGTCGATTTAGCGATGTCCGTCTGTCTGTTGTAATCACGCTATCTTTCGAACGAATTGAGATAGAAGGCTAAAATTTTGCACACATGCTTATTTTTCCAGTAGGCAGGTTAAGTTCGTAAATGGACCATTTAGTTCCACGTTTTTATATAGCCCCCATATAACGGTACTACTCGATATTCTGTATTTTGATAATTTTAGTGACATTATTAATTTGGTATTTGAAGTTTGAAATGGATACTACAGCCTAAGACAGAAAATTGGCTGTGTAGAACCACGTCTCTGTATAGCCCCCATATATTCGGTATTTTTAAGATTTTAGCGACATTATAAACCGGAAATGTTTTAAATTTGATATTTGAAGTTCTTAATGGATACTAAAGTCTTCGTATAGCCCCCATATAACGGTACCTCCCAATATTCGGTATTTTGATGATTTTAGCGTCATTATTTTAGCGTCGGTATTTTGATGATTAAAGCCAAAGTTTTGAATGGAATTGTCTACAAATCCACACAAGGGGTTTATTCTGGGTACGTTACCACCTGGAGGAAAATTGTCCACGATATCGCATAGCACCCAAACATTTGTTATTTTGATGGCGAATAATGTTGTTAATAACA